CGGTCCCCAGCAGAGCCCGATTGTTAAAATCACAACAAGACACATGGTCAAAGCCTTGCTTCCTTTGTTAGGAGGGGACAGTCTGGGGGGCGGGGACCCATTCTTTACTGGACTAGAATTACATGTTTTATTCCCGAGACATTCTTTACAATGAAGCTCCGGAGATTTCTTGAATTTGTATAATTGTGGACTAGTCCTAAGGCAACACTGATTCTGTTGTCTGACCGTCCAGGATATAATTCCATAGGAGATGACTATTATCGTAAAACTGACAATAGTGACAGGTGCGATGAAAAACAAGATAAAATTGTTCTCCATGCGTTTAGGGCTGTTAACAACATACTGACAATTATAAGATACTCTGCTCCAAAACGTTGTAATGTGAAAGGTTCCACCTAACGAAATGGCCATACTTATAACCCAGACTAGAAGAACAACAATTCCTGTCTGAGCTAAACTTAATGATCCTTTTATATATCCCATGATTCTTGCCTGTCTGTGAATTGCGATGGAAACGAGACTGAGCAAAGAGAGCATGCCACATATTGTTCCAAGAAACAAAATACTTCCACAGAAAACTTTTGGTGTTGGTGGATCGGAGAATAACATAAATAAAAATAATGGTGCCAAGCACGTACACAACATGAAATCGGCTCCAGCGAGATTAATAATAAGAAGATTGAAATTGCTCCTCAATTTCTTCTTCTTTAAAGAAGTGAAAAGAACCATTCCATTTCCTGTGCATCCTAGAATAAGCACGAAAATAACAAGTACTGTGCAAACTGCTTGTGTCGCTGTGTGAACGCTGCCTTCGAAAATAGGTGTGGTGGCACCGTCGTTTTCATTGGCGATTGACTGGTTTTCAAACTTTGAATACATATCAAGTTGGGTGTGATAAAACGTGAGCGCTTCTCCAGATTCTCATATCTCACAATATACAAACAAGCATGCTTAAATTGTAAATGCCTCTGCAATTTTAGACCAAATTGTGGATATGTATGAGCACAACTTGCTTTGGTTAAACAGAAAAACTGATGCGACAATAAATCATTCTATATTATAGGTGCTTCGAGATACACACATATTTTCCTAGCGCAGGGAAAACTAGGATTCCCATCCGCAATTTTTGCCATATCTTGTAATCTTTACTTGTACTGTCTTTCTGTTTTCAGAGGCATTAATTTTCTCACAATGCATTTTATTATTCAAGTCATTGAAAATTTAGGCGTTTCAACATATTGTTTATATATTCCGTTTTCCTAATTTCTATTGATTCGTGGTGGTGTTACACATTGTATGTCGAATCTTGCAGCCACCAAACTAAGCTTACCGCCAGTAAAATCTGTTTCTGCGAATTTACCAAAGGCTCATTTCACAACTGATTTCACGTGACGTGAACCATGCAGAATGATTGAAAATCCGTCTACTCCTTAATATTCAGCATACTGATGGGATAGAGTTTCAACGAAATCCTTTTTATTTGGCCTGTACACATTCCAGTTACTGCTTACATAGGGCAATAATGAAGAGATTCCAAACACAATGAAGCTCTATATCATACTAGGTGTCACTCCAAACAGCAGTGGCATGAGTTTTGTTGTCTGATACCAGAAAGCCCAAAGGTTATAGCCACGTTGAAGTATGTTATCTCTTTAGTGCTGTACCTGAAAACGTTTTCAGAAAAAAAATGGTTAACCTATAAACAATTTATGTTCATCAATATATGTGCAATGTTCTTAAAAACGTCCTCTTTTTCAGAAATTATACATCGGCATTGCAAGTATGTAATATTATATTTTTTTTCAGATTAAACAAATTATGACTATCCAATTTAATTACTCGAAAATAATCTTCCAACATATATTGTTTCCAATGCTAACGTAGCGGCATTTTATTTATGCTGCAAAAATATCTGGTAATGTAATTACTCAGCTTCGTACTTCAGAAATGTCAAATACTTGGCTTTAAAAAGTATCGCCCAAATAAAATTCCTTAGAAGAAGAAAGAATGTAACCCGTTGTATCTAACCTATAAGTAAACACCACTATACCTTGATGAAGGCCAATTTTCCTTTAAAATAATGCATGCTATTTCTAAAATCTCTGGCAAGTCCGGTGACAGCAAATTTTCACGACTGCAGAAACTTACAGGTGTTTACGATGCTTCAAGCTCGGAGTCCTTTCCTTTATAAATACCTGGACGATAATATATACAAAAATTAACAGCCGGCTATTTAAAAATCCAAATTCTGAAATCTGATCCGTGAATCACGCTCTTATAAAGACATACCTTCCACGAAAGGCGAGCGAGGAAATTTATTGTCCTTCTGTACCTATTAAGTTGATCGACAGTTCATCATTTTCTTCGCTCGTCCACCATCTAGTAAGTGCGCTTTTGGCTTTTGTTGTGCTAAACACTGTTTTCATGGTTGGAAAAACCTGTTATTGAAAAGGTATAACACTAGATCGCATTGAGACCAGCAACTTGATCTCTACGCACCTCGAAGTCGCTGTTCTTTCGTTACCCTCAAGTCTTTACTGCGGGGTTGTGGGACATTAAGAATTAGCATCAGCCGCTGAAAAATAAAATATCAGTTTAAGATCAATGGGCAACCGTCATCCAACAATGACAAAGCGTACTGAGGACTTCCTGGAGGGTGGCAGTCAATCTTGAGGAAAGCAATGGACAAACCACAATAAAATCCGAGTTGAACTCGATGCAGTTTTCAAAGTGGGAGATTGTAGCCATTTGAGTACCAAATTACCTTAGACGAATTATTCCATAAAACAAATTGTCACAAAATTTACTAGCAGTAATGGCCGCCTTTTACTGCTCTAAATGACACTGATCCCAAGAAGTACTGGCTATATCGTTGTATTCCTCGTATTATATTAAGTCGCTTTTTTTTAAACCGAGTACCAAGGTTTATATGAAATATGTAGATAGACTCTTTGGTATTGAGCTTAGAAAAATGAAATCGGAAGCCAACGGGTTAATAGACTACAAGAAACTTCAGTTAGTGAAGTTATTCCTTTGAATTTGAAATCATTCCCACAGATAGTGGTATGACACTTAAAAAGCATTTCTTTTCTACACCAAAATGAGCATTAGTTCGCCTTTTGCGGAGTGGATAGGCTAATATGTTTCCTGAAGCGTTGGGACTAAGCTAATATTTGCATTCAGAAAAATAATCGGTGTCTAAATGAGCCTATTTTACATAACCAAACAAGCGTGAGAGAAAGCTAAGCACACGATAACCCATAATCCAGCAAATTAGTAATTTACCATAACTTGATAAATTATATTTTATAATTTAGATGGCTAGACTCTCTCTTTCTCTCTCTCTCTCTCTCTCTCTCTCTCTCTCTCTCTCTCTCTCTCTCTCTCTCTCTCTCTCTCTCTCTCTCTCTCTCTCTCTCTCTCTCTCTCTCTCTCGTGAATTAAAAATGAAGTATCAATATTATACATTTTTTAGATGAATTGCTTTGTAAGGCGTGTTCGTGAGGAATATATTAAGTGTCCTCAATACAGAGGTTTCTGTTCTTATAGATTAATCTTTATTTTATTCACAAAGTTATTTTCATACTACACACCATACAATGTACACCCCTTACATTTTATTAAGTTTACATAATGAAATATATCATATTAATCAAAATTAAAAAAATATTCTCCATGATTGAATGTTCTTCATTAAAAAGTTGTGGTTTGGTTAAATAAATATTATTATAATTTTATAAATAGCATGATGATATTATGTGGCTGTTCTAATTACTCGCTCATTATTACACAAATTATTATCTTGACTCTACAGCATTTAGTAAATTCATAACACTGTCAAACAGGAAATAATGGTTAACTTTAGGGATTGTGCGGTGTGTACTTTTAATACATGCAAACAAGCAAACACACATAATTGTATGCACATAGTCATATGTGCAATTAATATCACTGTCATTATAATATTCTTATCGGATCTTGCTCTCCGAATGTTATTATTTAATCGCTACTCCGAATGTTATTATTTAATCGCTACTCCGAATGTTACTATTTAATCGCTACTTTTTTGTAAAAATGTCTAAGAATGAACAAGATCATGGTAATAAAAGTTAAATGTTATAGTGCATTAATTCCAAACTAGACTGTTCTTAATGCCCATTTTTCGGCATCACTGGCAAATCAGTCAATGGGGGAATAACTATTTTTAAAAAAATTGAGATCAACTTTTTAAATTTCTGATTGCGGTTTGATATTTCATGGTTTATTTAATGATTATGTGCCTCTGGTGGTTGAGAGTTCTAAGGCACTCGCCTTCATAGATCACTCACATATCTCACCTCTATCCGCGTGAGTTCGAGTCTCGACTCAAACACCGTTGGCAGGCCAGGCCCTAGAGCAAGGCGAACGATGCAACTGCCTTGGGCCCCGCGCTTTTCTGCAATGCATTATTTTTTATTTCGGGAACCGCGATCATCGCTTGCTGCCTTGGGACCCGCCTGCAGTCCTGGGTCCCGCGCATCCAATGAAGGGGCCTGAACGTTGGCATGTCAAACAGCTTGTCATTTGCTTTCCGTACGTCGGTGGTTTTTCCCGGGTTCTTCCTTCACAAAATATGCTGGCCAACAGGTAAAGATGATCAAGTGCTGAAAAATGGCGTAAATCCCATAACACCAAACCAAGCCAATTATTTTGTAACGAACCGTGACACAGTCAAACGTTTTCTTAACATCCACTAAAGTTTTAAACTTTACAGAGCGCAAAGTGAAAACAGCTGTATTTTCTTAAAATTCAAGAACATCACTTATTTCTAAGGTAGTCTACATTCTGGTCATAAAATGTAGATTTTAATGTAGCCTAATTAGTCTCGAATTGTGCCGTTAGTATATGTGTTGTCTTTATAAATGGAAATTCACACATTATATCGGTAATGTATACGTTATGCTCCTTATAAACAGACACTCAAGAATATCTAAACTTCGTTGTTCCTCGTTAACCGCTCCGGTGGCCTATTGGATAGGGCATCCGCCTCAGATGTGGGAGGTTGTGGGTTCTATCCCCGGCAGAGTCATACCAAAGACTTACAAAAATGGTACTAACAGCTGCCTTCCTTGGCGCCTAGCATTAAAAGGTTAGTGTTAGGACTGGTCGGCCTGGTGTCAGAATAATGTGACTGAGTGGGACATCGTGCTACATGTCTGCGGCTTGATGCCACAGTGCTAGACATCGCTATAAACTGCCACATAGTAGACGTGGTAGTGATATGACTGAAAAATTGTTAAAGCTGTTCCTCGTCAGACATTATATTCTGACTAGCAGATACATATCCTCCTGACTGTGTTAAATTAAACACTGGGATTCAAAACGGCCATAATAATAATCCCTGATTGACACTCATAAAACCAGGCTTAAATTACCTGAAATACCTAGATTAACATCATACAGAAGAAATAAATCTATATAAATTTTTGGAATAGTGTTACAATTCGATCCTAGCTGAATCATATGTACAACAATCGTTAGAACTTGGCTCAGAGTTCCCACTAATATATACCCATAACCTACTTAGGAATTGTCAACTTTGAAGAACATGTAGTCCTTACAGACAGCATGTTAAAACTGGGGGGTCAGAATTTTGTCAAGAAGGGCAGGGTTTTGATCCAGGGGAGGGGATAATTTTGTCCATATTGCATAAATTTATTTGATTTTACTGTAGAAAACTTTTGTTATGCAAAAAAAAGGTGGTGAGGCGGGGATGTCATTTGACTCTCGCCCATCCAAGTTTGTGCCAGTAATCTAAATAAAGTATGCATTAGTGTTTAGATGACTGACACGGCATAGCATGAAACGCTGCCAAGGAAAACATCCATTATATTTAGAGCCATCAATTTTTTAATGATGTGAATGCATTATTTATTGCCTGTTTGTGCATTTATTTACACTAGAAGCCTTTACAATTTTTTTCTTTCATAATTTATATTACATAGGTTATACACATTTTATTGCTATTTTATTTCATTAGTTGTAAAATGTCTGCACACAGGCACGTTGTATGTCAAAACGTGCATACTTATCTTTATTCAACATTCTTTTAAATTGCTGCAAAATGTAAATAACCCTGTCGAATATCCCAATATTTTTATATTGTTTGCGCGTTTATAAGTCGACTCCAACTATAAACGGCACAGATCTTGATATGTCGTAACATAATGCGATAGCGGATCAGGGTCTATGTTGCTTGTTCTGCTAATTACTCCTAACAAGCCATACATTCTCAGATCTTCCGGCGCATTATGCGACGCCAGATTTAGGTCTATGTATGGTCTAAAAACGTTCTCCCTGTCACATGCTCAGTTGACGGCAGCAAAACCTACGGCGTCCACGACAAGTAGTTTTAAAAACAATACAAGATCTGTCTCAAATACCTTGACTGCTGATAAGAGACTAGACCAGAAATAGTTAGGAACCTAACCGATTTGTTGTACGCAAAGATACGGGGCTGAGATCATGAAGTGTGTACAAAAGAGATAGATCCCTGAAAGAATGAGCAAACAGACATTGCTCCATTGTTTGCCCAATGTCTCGGTCTCCGGCTAGAAAGAAGAGGGACCGTCAAATTATCGGATCATAAATGAGATTTATACTATACCATTACCCTTTAGAGTGCCATAAACGAAACAGTGCAAAATTAATTAATAATTCTACTGGGTAGAAGCCATAAGCGAAACAATGCAAAAATAATTAATAATTTTCCTGGGTAGAAACCTATCATTAAAACATTAAGCATTATATATATATATATATATATATATATATATATATATATATATATATATATATATATATATATATATATATATATATAGGGAGAGAGACAGACAGACAGACAGAGACAGACAGACAGACAGAGACAGACAGAGATTTAATGGGCCTCGATGCCTTGATTACCAAGAAAATGGGCATAAGGTCTGTGTTTCTTTGGTGTCACTGCTAAATTCATAAGTTTCATGCAGTGACAATAAATATTAGTTTTCAGTGAATTAAGGTTTCTGGATTACTCGGCTTTTAACGTAAATCCTATTTTTTTTAATTCCAAATGCTATAATTGTAGAATGTCGAAAAAGAAGTCATAAAGATTGTTGAGAATGAATATTAAGCATGCCGATTTATTAATAATCTCTTCCAAATACAACCGCTATTCGATAAAGCATGATTCAACCTCAGACGGATTAACATAGCTACAAGGACAAACACCGAGTAAACCAAATCGTCTGATATTTCAATAAATTCAAATAGATTCGGCCGAGTTAAATACCATCGAGAACGCAATGATACTATATTATGGCACCACCCGCCAAAGCTTTGGTTTTATATGGACGCCAACTGAACTTTGCTGAAATGCATTGATTTAATTAATTTGGCACTAAACAGGGCTAAATGGGTGGATGAATAAAGAGGAAAAAATAGCAAATAGATTTTATTAGCTGCAACTGGTCCGTTAGAAATGATCCGCGCTTCTCTTAAGTGCAGTGACAACGTTGTTCTGAACAAATTAATAAAAACCTGGTATGCTATTCAAAATCATGTGAAAACACATTTCCCAATATTAAAAAATCAAAATAGTCAAAAGACAAAGGTGATAATTATGAATTTTAAAGTTCATTGTGTGGGCAAACGCTTCGTTAAGAATTCATTGCCATGGGCTGAATATGTTAGTCAGATTTTGCGTCAACTACAACAGACTCCTGAGATTCTGTACTATACAAGTAGATATTAAATATCAAACGGCGCTAACCATTCTTGCAGATTTTGAATCACAAGTTTGCTGAATTGAAGTTTCGAATGTGGATTTAAATAAAAATTACAAATTCTTTATATCACTTGCTTAGGCCTAAGGCGCAGATGAGCCATTGGTATATAAAATGTGATGCGATATATATTATAACTTGCTTAAAATTACTTTATTTTAGATTTTGTTAAGCTAATTCAATATATATATATATATATATATATATATATATATATATATATATATATATATATATATATATATATATATATATATATATATATATATATATATATATATATATATGCAAACACTTGATTCTCAATGCAAATAGAATAAAAATCCAGTTGATATAGATTTATACAATGCGAATAAAAATTTAAAACTTCAGTTGTTCGTAATAACTTCGGAACAATTTTTGGAAAGAGCAATCTTTGGGTTTTGCTTTACCAGGGACAATAAATTGTTGTTTTATCTCCTACAGATTATGAAAGCCTATGTCAGTCTACCTTTAGAAGTTTAGTTTAACAAACACAGCATATCATATCACACACACACATGTATGTATGTATGTATGTATGTATGTATGTATGTATGTATGTATGTATGTATGTATGTATGTATGTATGTATGTATGTATGTATGTATGTATGTATGTATGTATGTATGTATGTATGTATGTATGCATGTATGCATGTATGTATGTATGCATGTATGTATGTATGTATGTATGTATGTATGTATGTATGTATGTATGTATGTATGTATGTATGTATGTATGTATGTATATATATATATATATATATATATATATATATATATATATATATATATATATATATTTATATATATATATATATATATATATATATATATATATATATATGACACACATTGGATGAAGTTTTTTTTAAAAAAATGACGTAAAGACGAACTTGGAACAGATGTACTTAAAATTATAAACTTTGTACAAAAATTATGTTGTACCTTCTCAATTTGCATCACTATGTTCAAATCTCTGATCCGTAGGACAGGATTAAGGCAATCACGTGAGCACAAATATATAATTCTTTTTTTAATTAAATCTTATTAGGTCTTTAATAAACTATTTCCTAGTAATGTTTATGTTGTTTTCTCTACTTTTGGGGCTGGTCTAGCTTTGCTCACCCAAGAAAACACAGTACGTAAAACAGAAAACCTTCCCCCTATAGAAGCGAAACCGTTTCTACCTGTTAATGCTTATATAACCATTTCTCGTGTGACTGCATTGATTCTAACCTCCGAAAAACCCAACAATTTAAATTTAATACACGTTCACTTTCAGATCATATTTTTCACAATACATTCCGACAGCATGTGTTTGCCTCTGTAAATTCTCGACTGTATCCGAAACACTTGTCATAGCATCAATTAAAAGAAATTATAATACATTTTCATTTGAATTATCTTCGTCAATATAAACAGCTCTGCATTTGCCTTCTTCAGGCAATTCACTCCGTTTAAAAACATCTTAAACAGGAAAAGACTGAGTACGAATCACTGCACAATATCAACAAAACATTTATCAATCCTCATGTCATTTAATACATAATTTAAACTGATTAAAAATTGATTAAAGAATTTCTGCTATTTCTCTACTACTAGTATTTTTAAAACTTAAAAGCATAGCAAATAAGGTAATGCTAAACACAATCGAAACCTTTCAAAAAAAAAAGTTTTAAAAACAACCGAAACTGACTGTGTATGTCTGTATAAAGGCATGTAAAGAGAAGCAGTTGAGTATTGCAAAATACTTTTGTCTAAATCTAGTCTGTTGCTCATGCAAAGTTTCTTCAGTATTAGTATATCTTTAGTGCTTCTGTAAAAATATAACTCATTACAGGGAAATTCCTCTATAGTTCTCAGAGTATAGCATTTCTACTTGTACTGTGTAAAGGAATAAGTATAGTTTGATATAAATATCTATTACCCTTATTCAAATCGTGATTTAAGAGTTTTTGTAAACATGGCAGCTTCACTGTATCATATTTTTTAATAAAAATTTTATCTAATATTCTATCTGTCCATGGAGTTTCATTTTGAAACGGTAACATCTAAAGTTTCCTCATACAATGAACTTGTCATTCAAATACAATGAACTTACATTCTCTTGTAAGCTAGAGATTCACTGTCTGGTTAAATGCAGACTAATTTATTTGGAACAGGTTTCATCGATACAGTTTATGATGTTCATCAAGTGACGAATAAACGAAAACTGTTCATTTTGAAAACATCTTGTGCAC